AACCCCACCCACACGCTCCCCCAGGAGGACTCCGCTGCAGCACGAGCTTCCCGCCTGGGCGGACGGGCCCCCCACCTGCAGGCTGCCCCTCCTGCAGGCGGCCCAAGCCAAGTAGCCGTGACCTCCTGTGGACAAGGCCAGAAACAGCCCCGGCCCAGACCCGGGGGACACCACGGGGCTGGCCTTGTGTGGATAGGAGTGTTGCTTTTGGAAAAGACACAGAATCGCCTCTTGATATTTATTTCGGACCTTCTGGAGGGTGCTCCGCAGGTGGTTGAGACGGAAGCCAGCGCGTACTGGTCTCGCCTTCCTGCTCTCCTCGAGCTGAGTGGCAGGCTTCCCGGGGAACTGATCAGTCCTCTCGTTGACTGAGGTGCTGCTACTGGCGTCGGCTTTCCTGGGACCGGGGAGACTTCCTGATGCCGCCTCCGTATTCCAGCAGCGGAAACTCCCGCCTCCTCCCTGGAAAACGGAGCGTTCACAGGGTGCATCGGGACCGAAGGCCACCGTGGTGTGCAGCGACACTGCTCCCAGAAAGCGGACGGTGCAGTGAGCTCTGTAGCAGCACAATAAGCAGTAAGCGGCGGAGATGACCCCCAAACAGCGGGACCCCCCAGCCGTTTGGTCCCAGGGCTTTGGCGTTTCAGTGCATCATTGGGAAGAAAAGAGAAAGAGCAAGGGAAGGTCCAAGTCCTTCGCCCTGGATGGTCCTCAGTCTTGCTTCCTGTGCCCCACCCCATCCTGGGGAAGGACAGGCACCACAGGTGATGGGGGGGCTCGCTCCTTTCCTTGGAGAAGGAGAGAGGGCGCCTGGTCACATGTCCAGCTGGCAGAACAGCCTGTGGGATAAGGCTGTGAGCAAAAAGCGCTCAGAGCCAACGCTTGGGGGTGGGTCCCCTGAAAATGCCACCCGACTGTTGGTTTGATGTGCTCATTGGAGGACAGAAAAACAAAACAAAAAAAACAAAGTCCTTGCAGTGAAATGCCACTCCCCTCCCTGGGTGGTGTGGCTGAAATGTAGGCATTACCAGAAGCCATCCCTTCCTGGAGGCAACAGACCGGTTGCCTCTCCCCGGATTATCGGGGAAGTGGGAGCTGTGGCCTCACCGCCTGGCTGGCTCCACCCTCTGCTCCCCTTTGCTCTCGTCCTTTCCTGCCGCACACGTGCGTGTGTGTGTTTGTGTGTGTGTGTGTGTGTGTGGGCTATTGTGGGACTTGGGGGGGGTTCTTTAAGTGCCTGTATTTAAGGTGGGAGAACATCAAGGGCATTGAAATGAAGAGAAAGGGGGTTGGAAATGACTTAGGTAACTGAGTATTTCTCACGTCTTTCTAAGGACAACGCACGTGACAGACGTTTTAAACCTGATGCCTGGCAGGTGCAGGGGGAGGGGCTTGCGGAGAGTGTTGCTAACTGAGCATTTTTATGGCAATGAGTGGCTTGGCATGCCACAGCTGCCTGCCAGAATGCAGGGAGTGAGGAGCTCTGGAGTGTGCTTGGCAATGCTGCTTGTGACGGTGCGATTTTCCTGGGCATTCCGTGTATTTATGATAGTGACGGTGACCCTGTAGACCCAGGAGGCCCATCAGTTAAGCCCCTTTTTTTCTGGTTAAATTTTATCATAAACACGGCGGTCCGTTTCTTTTTGGGGGTGAGGTAGGCCTTTTGTTTACTGTTTGTTAGCTCCCAGGTGCTTTTAGCATCAGAGTTACTGGCATTTGGGGGTGCAGGTGGAGCCCCGGAGCTGCTCGTATGGGGGCCTCGAAGGGCACGCTGGTGCTTTCGGCTTCACTTTGGGGAAGCCGGGTGAGGAAGTAGTTATGACTGTTTTTAACAATCTCGTAGTGTTTATCCAATCAGGTGTTCATTGGATGTCTCCTAGTGCCAGTCACAGGGTGTTTGTTTACTCAAGAATGAAGTAGACTTGTTTCAAATCCTGCTTTCGTGGATGTCTAGGGTGGGTGAGCCAAGCCTCAGGGGAGACACACATTTTCTGGGTATGAATTATGAGTGTCACAGTTCATTACCAATTAAGGTTTCGGTCTGTGGGGCATCAAACATGGCCGTGCTGAGATCTGCCACGTGACGGAGCCCTGGCATGTGTCTCAGCAGGGCCCCCGAGCATGTGCCTGGCAGACCCGTGCGCTCCCGGGCCAGCAGCTTGGGTAGGGCAGCTGTCCCCACATGAAGGACCGGGGCAGCCTCCTGGTCTGCGCTCAGCCGTCGTCATGACGCAGCCGGGCCTGGGCGCACCGCGCGGGGCATTCTGTCCTTTCCATTTCGTTCTCTGGGGCTCACACTGGTGAAAGCCTGTTGGTCCAAGGGAAGTGAGTCTGCTTTCCACCCTTCAAAAGTAGCAACTTGGAAAGTGAACAGAATAAAATTAGCTTGCACATTTAAACAATATTCTCACGGGCAGCACGGGTTAGACTGATTTTCTGAGAATGATGTGCACAGAAGTCATAGTCCAGGGCAGCCCCTGCCAGCTGAACGCGGGCACATGGAACCCGCAGCAGGTCGCCCTGGCGGGGCCCTGCACAGTTGCTTTTCCAAGTTGCTTCTATAAAGAAACCAAGCTTTTAAAGTATTTTAGGAGTTTGGCTCAGAGCTCCCACTTTCCTCCTAACATAGCGTCTCTCTCTCTCTCTCTCTCTCTCTCTCTCTCTCTCTCTCTCTCTCTCTCTCTCTCTCTGTCTCTGTCTCTCTCTCTCTCTCTCTCATGCTCTTCAGCTTCATCTCCTGCTGTGGCCTTTAGTGCAGCGGAACATAAACCACCTGTTACTGACTCGGGCCGTCTCTGATTAAATTACTAGTTGCTTTGACTGCATCGGCCCTCTTCATTATTGCGGAGGAGAAATGGGAAGTAATCTTTCCTCCTACTAATTTAGCTTTGGATGAACTAAATGGCTTTTCCTCTCTCTTCCTCCCCAAAGGCCCTTGACAGTCGAGAGCCGTGCTCAGTATCGCATTGAGCTCCACTGTGCCCAGTGCTCATTTGCTGCCAAAGACCCACTCGGGGGCCGTCGTCTAGAATGCTCTGAGACTGTGGCCAGAGGCAGCGTCCCTTGATTGCCCTCTTCACCTACTGGGGAGCCTGTGTTTTGCCCTCTTATCAGTTTCCCTGTGTCCCGATTTCCTTTTCTCTTTTATTTTCCTTAGCGTTTGGGAGCCTAGCTCCAAGGCCAGCTAACCTCTAACACCCTAGTGCAGTGGTTGGCAAACCGCGGCCCTTGAGTGTGGCTCTTCCACAAAATACCACGTGTGGGTGCGCACGTACAGTGCGATTGAAACTTTGTGGCCACCCTCAAGGGGCCAAAGAGCCGCATGTGGCTCGTGAGCCACAGTTTGCCAACCATTGCCCTAGTGCAGTGGTTCTCAACCTTGGCTGCACATTAGAATCACCTGGAAGTCTTTTTAAAAATTCTGATTTTGGGGCCTCATCCTCCGGAATTTCTGTTTCTTTGTTATGGGGTGGGGCCACAACATTAGTAACAAAGAAACAGAATTTCTGGCGGATGAGGCCCAGAAATCAGGATTTTAAAAAGACTCCGAGGTGATTCTAATGTGCAGCCGAGGTTGAGAAACACTGCCCTAGTGGGTTAAGGGAAGGAAAGGGCGTGAAGATTCGTTAATGCGGGGTCAGCTAACGTATTTTCAGCGTTGCGGGCCATTTTCTGTTGCCATTACTCCAGGAATGGACACAGCTCTGTCCTATTACAACGTGGTTTATAAAACCAGCGGCGGCTGCCTTGGCCCTCGGGCCGTAGTTCCCAATCCCTGCTCTAACTCAGAAAGCGTGCAGACCAACAGCCCGGTAGTGGAACAGGCAGCAGGGAAGTGCGCCCTGTTCCCCTAGGAGCTGGCGAGGGCATATTTACTTCTGTGGCCAGTGGTGACATACTGTGTTCCCAGCACTCGGCTTCGTGGTGTATAACTGAGCTGCCGGTCGGGCACGAGCACTAGTTGAATGTACCTCTTCTTGTAGTGGTTTGTGACCGTGCTCGTCTTGGGGGATGGTGTGGCTTCACACGGAACCTTCAGGACCGAGTCCCCCCACCGCTGGTGTTCAGCAGCTGTCGGCCCTGCTGAGAAGCCCTGTCTCAGATGGGCGAGGTCACACCCCTCCTCTGAGCAGCTCCCTTCCTTCACCTCCCTCCCTTCCCCAGGGGTGGACCCCAGAGCACACCCCGTAAATTCCCTGCACGTGAATCTCTGTTCTGCTTCCGGGGAGCCCGCCCACAGCAGCCCTCTGCACTTTCCCAGCACTGTGGCTTGAACCTGACGTCGGAAACTGTTTTCTAATCATGTAGTAGAATGACTAATTGTGCCTGTACGATAGCAGGCACAGTAAATGCAAACTAGGTTCACCTACTATTTATTCTGAATATGTATATGCTATTTATTCTGAATGTTGATTTTATGTTACCAGATGCTGAATTTATTGCCAAATAAAAAGTATTGTATTATCCAGTTTATTGCAAGTCATTGGTTTTTGTGCGCTTAAGTTAGTGGCTGGTAGCATCAGCAGGTGCTACCAGCCCCGATTGCCCGTCAGGGCTTCACCTCCCCCTGATCCTGAGGGGCGATCGGACCTGCAGCTGCCTCTCGCACCCACTCCTGGCGACAGCCCCACTCACACCCAGTGCCGGTGTCAGAGCTGCCACTCGCATCCACTGCTGGCGCCAGAGCTGCTGCTCGCACCTGCTGACAGCGCCAGTCCTGCTCGCGCCCGCTACTGGCACCGGCCCCAATCGCTCTGCGCCATCAGTGGGTGTGAGCGGGGTTGGCACCATCATCGCATGTGAGCTGCAGCGGCGGGGGGAGCGGGGCTGCAGGCAGAGAAGGGACCAGGGCCGTGGTGGGAGGGGCTGGGCTGGGGTGTGGAGGATGGGCCGAGACCTGCCCCTGTGCCCATCCCAGCCTTGCAGTCCACAGTTCCTTTCAAGGTGCATGCATTCGTGCACTGGACTCCTAGTTCTAATATAACCAAATAAGAATATCCTTGTGAGAGGGGAGGGTGAGAGATTTAGGGTTCATTTCTCACCACCCACATCCCATCACGCCCAGCAAAGCACACGTGCTTGTTTTCAGAGCTTGTAGACTGTGTGTTGAAGCCAGAAAATTGGTGTGAACTTAGCTGTAGGTGGGCAGCAGGCAAACCCACCTGGAATTCTTTTCTCCCACAGACAGTTCCCTCCCCAAGGCATCTTACACTCTGTGGCCCTTCGTGTCTGCCTTCTTTGACTCAGCATGTGTCTAGGGTCCATCCGTACTGTTGCCCGCTTCAGTGCGTAGGCCCCTTGTAGGGTGGAATGACATGTCATTATATGGAGACACCGCAGTTTGATGGGCATTTGGGTTGCTTCTATTTTTGGGCTATTATGAGTAATGCTCTCTGAACATGCACACGTACGTTTTGTGTGGACATGTTTTCATCTCTCTTGGGTATATGCCTGGGGTGAAGTTTCTGGTTCTTATGGTAACTCAGTGTTTAACTTTTTGAGGATCTGCCAAACTTATCCACGGTGGCTGCACCATTTTGCAATCCCAGCAGCAATGTCGGAGGGTTCCAATCTCTCCACATCCTCGTCAGCACTTGCTATTATCAGCCTGTTGGGGTTTAGTCATCCTAGTGATTGGGAAGTGATATCTCATTGTGGTTATCATGTCTTCTTACTATACACACGCACAAAACAGAATTGAGAAATAATTCTAGGCAGATGTTGGCTACTGAAAAGGCCCTACTTAGGTCTAATAAGTGGATTTTACCTTCAAAGCTTGATCCCTTCTGTGGCGAACAGTATTTTTGGTTCTCAGAACAATTAGATTGTTCCACTGACTTTATTTCTGTTCCATACACATTTATTGAGCCCCTTTCATGTTCCAGATACTGTGCTAAGTGCTCAGATACAAGGCAAACGAGGCGAGTCCCTGCCCGTGGGAGCTTACAATCTAGTAGGAAAATAAGAGGAGGTCACAGTTACTGTCGAGTTGGGTAGGATGTAGTAAGTGCCATCTAAGGACTAAAGGTGACACACAGGAAGGACAGCCAAAGGTCAGAGGTGGGGGAAGTCCCCTGAGTTGATGGGTGGAGTTCACATCATTCCTCACCCACAGAAACAAAAGAACCCCCCAGATGAACCAAGGAGATGAGGTACGACTTGCGTGCTTTAGACATACTTCCACATGTTCAAGGACCTTATGTTCCCCAGAGGCCACTGGGGCCGAGGATTCACAGTTCGCAGCCTTCGTGAGGAGGCTGGGGGCCCAGGTGGCTGTGGGGCTTGCTGGCTGCAGCGGGTCGGCCCTCACAGTGCCCCCAGGGGGTCACTGCCCTCCAGCAGCTGGTCCTCAGAGTCCTGGAAAAGAAGAGGTGTTCTGTGAGCGTGTGGAGAGAGCCCAGCACCTGCCGCTTATCGAACTTTCCAGCTTGCGTGTGTCTTTTGGCCATTGGTCTGAGGTGTAGATGGGGTTCAGGACACACTATGCCAAAATGTGACACGTTGGCATATTACATATCTTAAGCTGAAGGAATAAGAAATCCCACAGAAAAATGGCAGAAGCAGGAAGGTCACTCTGACCTCCTGCCCCTTCCCATCTCTAGCCCTGATTAGCACTCAAATTGTTAGTTAGCATAATGGATATGGTCAAAATGTGTGGGTTGGCTACAGGTATTCAATAGGTTACCCTCTCCCCTCCCCTCCCAATATAAAAGGCATGAGATTCCAGCACGTCACATTTGGGATGGCACCCTCGGCTTAGGATTCCTGGTACTGGAACATTTTTTGCCCCCCTGGCCTGATGAGATGGTTTAGCTCAGTGGTTCTCAACCTGTGGGTCGGATGACCCGTTCACAGGGGTCGCCTAAGACCATCCTGCATATCAGATATTTACATTATGATTCATAACAGTAGCAATATTACAGTTATGAAGTAGCAACGAAAATAATTTTATGGTTGGGTCACAACATGAGGAACTGTATTTAAAGGGCCAGAAGGTTGAGAACCACTGGTTTAGCTGAATCCTGTCTCTGGGATGCTCTCACCTGCCTCAGGTGCATCTCAGGCACTGCTGAGGGAGCTCTCAGCTGAGAAGGCATGGAGCACATTGAACAGGATTGATTACTTTTTTGCTCTGCTTTTTAAATGAGGTTGATTTCAACATAATGTTGGCAGAAATAAAATATTAATAAATGCAGTCTAGCTGTTACCCTTGCAGTTTGGACTAGAAACCCTTACATGGGTTTGATTAAAAAACAAAATAAGGCCTGGCCAGTGTGGCTCATTGGTTGAGTGTCCACCTGTGGACAGGAGGTCACGGTTCCATTCCTCGTCAGGGCACATGCCCTGGTTGCTGACATGATCCCCAGTAGGGGGCGTGCAAGAGGCAGCTGATCAATGATTCTCTCTCAGAATATTTTTCAATCTATCGCAACTACAGTACACCTGCTGCCACAGGCACTCAGAACCACATGGCATT